AAACACACACCGTCTTCTCAACTAACAATCCCACAGAAGCATAAGCATTCAAATCTAAGAGTCATGGCATCCCGAAAGCTTTTCACCGTTTTCGCTATTGTCATGATGATGTTCTATTTTGCTTCATCGGGTAAGTGTTTTTATCTTCCCATCTTTTTAATTCTATGTTCTTTTGTTGTTTTCTTTTGCTAAAATAATATTTAATCCTTGCAGCAAAAGGCGACATGTTCATGGAATGTATTCGTCCGTGTGTTGATGCTTTCGACGATGATTCGTGTTATGATGATTGTGTTCGTGCAAATAAAGGTGCTGGGTTTTGTTATCCTAAACTACCTTCTGTTTCGAATGAAAAGGATTGTTGTTGTAATAATTGAGAGGACGGAATCCTTTGATTTTATTTAATTTTGTGGGCAAATTGTTCGGGGCCGTTGGACATCAAATTTTTAATAAATATTTATTTTTAAGTATGGTGTTTCATTTAATTCATCGACTTAATCATAGAAACTTCATGATTAAACGTTTTATTTTGAGTAAAAGAAGCTTTTCCATGTGACGCGACATAAATATATCGTGTTCGTCTATGGTAACCATATCACAGGGGATTCTCTATTAGACCTAATTTGATTTTTAAAATTATTCCTACCCAATAGCTGTAAGCCATAAGTCGTTGTTGCCTTTTTGCTTACATTCCCATATAGCACAAATTTCAATTTCTCAAATCTTGCTTTCAAAAACTCTTTTTTGAAATTTTTTTGTCCCGTTTTTTAAAACTTTCTTCTTGAATCGGGGTCAGAGGCTCGAGCATACGTCGCTTGCCCGTAGGTAGGCTCCCCGCTTTCTAAAACTTTCTTCTTGAATCGGGACCAGAGGCTCGAGCATACGTCGCTTGGTCATAGGTAGGCCCCCTGCTTTCTAAAACTTTCTTCTTGAATCGGGGCTAGAGACTCGAGCATACGTCGCTTGCCCGTAGTTAAGCTTAGTCATAGGTAGGCTTAGCTCACTTGTTGTTGAGAAGTGAGCGCCGTACAACCATCAAAGTGCGGTTGTGACCGTTAGACCTAATTTTATAACCATTTGATTTTTAAAATTACTGTTTTTCCAAACATTAAATTCTAAAATAAAAAATAAAAAATAAGCACTCAAAATTATTTATATATAGAACTATAACTAATATTATATTGATAGAATAACCATTAACCAATTATTCCATAACCTATTATATTATATTAATATATAAAAAAGAAATTTGGAGAAAATAAAAATGAATTTTGTGACGTGTGGTTTAAACCGAAAATAAATTTTGAAGCAGAAAGCGAACTTTTCTTGGCGAGCGTCAGGCAGCCCCTATCCAACGGACAGTGACAGTTCCACTGGATGATTTTCCAATCCAACAAATGGGAATCCGCCACGTGTGGCAGAGTAAATAGAATTTGTCAGGATCGAAAACGATGAATATGGGCCGACCCATTAACTGGAAAAAAAAGGCCAGGCCCATGTCCTCGTTTTGTTTGCGAAGAATTAAAAGCTGAATTAAATGAAGTTTTTGGGCTGGCTGTCTTATCGAAAGAGACATAAAAGCAGAAAATAAAAAAGTTGGGCTCGAAAATCCAAAAAATTCGAGTATTAAAAGAAGCCAAAGCCCAATGAAGGCAAGTGTTTCAGACAACAGTTCAGCAAAAGCTACTGCCATAAAACTCACAACACACATTCTCTGTCTACTTTCTCTCTCCCCAATTTGTACATTTTCTCTCTCCTACCCCCCTTAACATCACCTCAATCAATAAACTGGTTTTTTCGTAAAGATTCTATGATTGAGCCACCATATTTTTAAAACTGTGAGATTGACGACAACACGGATCAAAATGGACAATGGACGGTCAAAATATGGATAATGGACGGTCAAAATGGACAATGGACTTGGGCTGTTACATGCACATTGTTAGTATACGAGATCCCACATGAATTCCCACATGAATTCCTGGGGGAATGAATATAAAAGAGAGAGAGAACGAAAATGAAAATGTGATGGCTAGGGCAACAATATCATACAAGATACTGCTGCGCCTCATTTCGGGGACAACCATCTAGCTCTGGGTTCGAGTGGCATTTCACCCCTAACCACAACTCATCCACTGATTCTTCAACATCAGTTGGTTCGAACCTCCACTTAGTTTCATCCAACCTTCATCCTGGTCATGGATAGATCACCCAAGTTCGGGTCCATAAGTAGTAACAATTGCCCCATGAAGACTCGCTTTCGCTGCGGCTCTAGTGGGTTCCCTTAACCAAGCCACTGCCTATGAGTGGCCGGCTCATTCTTCAACAGGCATGCGATCAGAGTCATGGTGGACTTATCCCACATTAATTCCTGAAAAAGGGGAAAATGGGAGGATTGTGAGATCCTATATTGGTTAGAGAGGGGAGATACCTCTCCTAAAAAGGGATAGACTGTGAGATCCTATATTGGATTGATTCCTGAAAAATGGTGGACTCTGAGATCATATATTGGTGAGTAACAGACATGTTTTAAAAATTTGGTGAGAAACCGGGAAGGGAAAGCCCAAAGGACAATATGTGCTAGCGGTTTAGTGACTTTCAATTATTTGAAGTCTTTCTTAGCTATTTTATCCTTAATACCGCTCTCATTCAGATATGGTCTCGGTTCGTTCATATATCCCTCTACACGGGTGTCACGTGCCTACTAGCTTACATACACATAGTTTCATGGAGATCATTTTTATGTCCACCAAACTCTTTAAACACACATCACTTTCATACATCCTAAGCTTCTTTAGGTATGTATCACTATCGTATACATACACTTCGGCTCTACGCACATCATTTTCATGTAATTACATCCTCTAGACATATGTCACTTTCATACCGTCAATTTTTATTGAAAAATAAAATAAATTATTTTAATATCTCGAGACTATTATTTATATATATATATATATATATGTATGAGATTTTGATGTAATATCATACTAAAAAAATTATTAAAAAAAAAAAAAAAACTTGGCATTTTGAATTTTTTTTTTTTTTTTTTTTT